GGTTCAGATCCCCATACTGACCAGCACTGAAAAAAAAAAAAATCTGTAGAAGGGCATTTGCATTCTTTTACAATAAAAATTCCCACTAATAAAAAGCAAAAAGAACTGGTATCGGTGCTGAGATGATGACTCACCCTTCTCAGCAATGAAGGTGAGATCACTGACCTAGAAGGAAAAGGGTGAAAAAAGGGACTTGACCCCTTCTAATCTATCCCCCCCACAGCAGCCAGTGGCCTTTCTTGGATCCCTGTGGCCTGGTCATTCCCCTGCCGAAATCCTATCACTATCCCATATCGCTCCCTCCCTTAGGTTACACTCGCATCTTAAACTGTACTTTGTTTGCCTCCCTGGAACTTTGCAGTGGTGTTTCCCCTGCCTGAATTGTGCTTTCCCTTCCTCTTTTTCACTTGGCTAATTCCCAGTCCTTATCATTCAGGTTTGTCACTTTAGATGTCGCTGCTTCCAGGAAGTCTTCCTAACTTCCATGCCTAGGTTATTGGCTTCCCTAGGGTGTTCCTATAGCACCCTATTCTTTCTCCACTACACCACCTGCTCCTGTCCAAGGAACCACACTTCCCCAGTATTCATGACGTTGCGTCTTCCCTTCCCACACTGACTCTGGGCTGGCCCTGTGAATTGCTTTAACCAGCAGAATGCGGAAGTGATGCTGTGCCATTCCAGGCCTCAGTCTTAAGAAGAAGCCTGGTACCTTCCACTTTTGTCCTTTTGAAAGCTTTGAGCCACCGGGTAAGAAGTTCAGCTACCCAGCTGAAGAGGCCATGTGAAGCAGAGAGGCCCTGAGACTACATAGAGAAGGAAAGAGACCTAGCCTTTCCTGTGCCCTAGTTGAGTCTTCATATGACTCCAGCTGCTATCTGACTGCAACCACATGAGAGACCCTGAGCGAGCCCAGCAGAATTGCCCAGCTGAGCCCAGTCAATTCACAGAACTGTGAGAGATAATGATTGTTTAAGCCACTAAATTTTGGAGTGTTTTTTATGCTGCAATAAATAACTATAACACCACTCTGTATTTTAATTGCCTATTGACTTTGTTTGCCCTTCTAGACTATTTTCTCTGTGAGGGCAGGGCCCACATCCATTTTTTTTTTTTTAAAGATGAACGGTAAGGAGATCTTAACCCTTGATTTGGTATTGTCAGCACCACGCTCAGCCAGTGAACTAACCGGCCATCCTTATATAGGGATCCAAACCCATGGCCTTGGTGTTATCAACACCACACCCTCCCAAGTGAGCCACAGGCCGGCCCCCCCACATCCATTTTTAAAAATTATTATATACTGGGCCAGCCCATGGCTCACTCGGGAGAGTGCGGTGCTGATAACACCAAGGCCGCGGGTTCGGATCCCATATAGGGATGGCCGGTTGGCTCACTGGGTGAGCATGGTGCTGACAACACCAAGTCAAGGGTTAAGATCCCCTTACCGGTCATCTTTTTAAAAAAAAAAAAATTAAAAATAAATAAAAATTATTATATACTTAGGGCCGGCCTGTGGCTCACTCAGGAGAGTGCGGTGCTGATAACACCAAGGCCATGGGCTCAGATCCTGTATACAGATGGCCGGTTCACTCACTGGCTGAGCGTGGTGCTGACAACACCAAGTCAAGGGTTAAGATCCCCTTACCGGTCATCTTTTTAAAAAAAAAAATAATAAAATAAATAAATAAAATTATTATATACTTAGAACATTCTCCAGCACTGAATAAGCTCTCATATATTTGATTAATGCAAATTAAGGATGTCTACAAAAATGAAGGCAACAACAAATGTCTGAACACTCACTGTGGTGAGTACGCAATGGCAGGTGTACACCTCACGAGAGGCGATTAACTGCACATCTAGGCAGTAGGTTACCAATGTAAGATAGACAGTTTTTCTTTGTAGACGGGTTGAGTCAACTTGACTTTGGGCCACAATCCAACAACACAGAGCTTGGGAGCAGGAGAAGGAATGGCTGATGGTTTGGGGCCAGACAGTTCAGGCAAGCTGAAGGTCAAGGAAATCAAGTTGCCATTCCTGACAGTGCTACTGTGGGCAGCACTGAACAGGTGATGATCTGGTGTGTCAGTGAGGATGCCAGCTGCCCTTGCCATCTATACCTCACGCAAGTGGTCTATTGGTGTTCTCAGGCTTCTGGGGACAAAAGGTGCCACAATGTCATTTTATACATGTGTTGCCAGGGCCACTCAACTCCTGGCTGTAGCTCCCCCAAATTAACACCGAACTCACAGGTCCAGCTGCCTCCCCCCAGACAAAAGCCAACAAACAAAAGTCACATGTCGGTGAAAATGGAAGTCAGCTTTTATTCAAGAATACTGGTGACCTGAGGAGAGATGTTGGGTTAACACATCTCTGTTAAACCTGAAGAAGATGGCCAGGCTAAAGCCATCAGAAAGATTCAGATTTACTGAGGGTTTTCAAAGAGGGGGTTGAAGCAGTGGAATGTGAGGAATGAAAAGCAGGAGGGAGCGGGAAGTGCAGGGGCCAGACGCAGTCTCACCAAGACTCATCTGGTTTCTGCTCCTGCCCTTGTTGTTATCTCATGGTCCTGGTGGAGGGGTGGAATCAGCATAGTTTTATTGATGTCTTCCTTGGTTTCCCTTAGATAGTACATGCAAGTCTGCCTCCAGGCTGACCGGAAAACAACTTTACATTGCTGTAAATAATAACCAAGGTTCAAAATATCAAATAGCCATGGGAAAAAAGGGAACTCAGAGAAATGCATGCCGAGAAAAAAACTGTGTTTTAAAAATTTGCCTATAGCCCTTGCAGTTTTAGGTCCTAACACAGCTTCAGTACTGCTCACTCCAACACATGGGGACAGATGCCTTATCCTCTCCTTCAAAACCTTTCAGCTAGTTTCAAACAGAGAGCATCCTCAATGAATGTTTGTATATGGAATGAATACATTTCCACTCAAATCGCTAAATTCCATGATAGGGACCTGGTGTTCTTGACTGTAATCATCATCAGCACAAGGTGTCAGTCAAGTCAACAAGCATCGTTTGAACATATTCTGTGGGCTGACAGTTTATGTCAAGCCCTATGTGCGATACAAAATGGGAAATACTATCCCTGCTTGAGGGAGAGAACTGGGAAGAACTGGAAAGAACTGGACTTACACAAATGAAATAATTAAATAACAGGACAACATATAGTTACTGCTACACTGTGTTGTAAGAAATGAAGTGCTTCAGGAATTGGGTTCAAACAGTTGGGGAGTCTTCACTGAAGAGCTGAGATTGGGCTGAACCTTGAAGAATGAAACAAACTACAGACAGGCTGTAGAAAGGAGGGTGCGGAAGTCCAGGAGTCCCCAGAGGAAGAACAGAGCCAAATCAGAATACTTGTTTGTAATTTTGAGGCAGCAACACAAGTGATATGAAAGGTGGCTGTCCCAGATCCTGAAAAAAGGATATTTCTGAATAGTTTTCCAATAGTCAAACTTCTGGTCCTTTATATATTCATTTTTCTCTGCCTTCCTTTCTCCCTTCTCCATTGGGCAAACTCTTACTCGTATTTAAAGGCCCAGTTCAAATGCAACCACTTTTCTGAATCCTTCCATGGTATTCCACAACCCATTGCTCATGCTTCTATTGGAACATTATCTATTACATTTGCCTACTCCCCTCCTCCACTACTGTAATTAATAGCAATTTACATTTATTGGGCTCTTACTATGTGCCAGGAACTATGCTAAACATTTTTAATGTTTTATTTAAGACTCACAATTGTGTGAGGTATTATTTTCCGTTTTATAGATGAAGAACCTGAGGCTTAGTGTGCTTAAGGAAGCTGTGCAAGATAACATAGCTAGGAAGTAAGAAAGCTGGGATTCAAACCCAAGTTTGTGGGACTCCAAAGCCCACTCCTAATCCTTTGAACCATGTATTCCTGGAGGTGACAAGAGCTCTTTATTCATCTGTCTTCTCAGATTCTAGGATGGTGGCTAACATAAGGCTCAAAAGTTGATTAACAAATTAATACTACTTTCATACCACAAGAATGGGTCTAAAAATAGGTACCTCCAGTACTTTTAGCCCAGGCAGAGACTTCCACACACCGAAAAGTCACATACCTGGGGGAAGGGAGAGGGAGAAGTCTGAACACTTTACATTTGAATTTGAGCTCCTTTATTTCACGGATTCAAGTGAGATGAGAGGAACTATTTTCCGCAAAAGAACACATACATAACATTGGCTAAGTCGGCAGATGAGGGCTCTAATTAACAGGTTGTGTGCGGGTGGTGTCTCCTCTTAGGTATTTTTAGAGGACTAGATCAAGAGTCTCAGCCTATCAGACCGGGAAGGATCAGTCGAGACCATTCCATCTGATCCGATCGTGGCTCAGACTGAGGCCCACACAAGGTAAGTGGTCGGCCTGAGGCTACACACAGAAAGACAAAGCTGGGCGGGAGCCCGAACCCGGGAATCAAAACTGCCCTGCGCGGTTTCTCGCCGCCTATGCAGTCGGGCCCGGGACTGGTATCTCTAAGCAGATGGCCTTGGACGGGAAGCTCGGTCTTCTAGCTTCTTTTGTTGGACCCTAAGGCTTCTCTCCTCCGTCTACGGGGCCTGGTTATTCCCATCTCCTCAAGCCTCAGGGCCTGGGGAAGCTTTTTCCTCTCTGGAGGCTCCACGATGTCTGCACGGTCCTCCTGCTTTGACCCAAGCCGCTCTAGCTCCGCTTCTCAGTGGTCCTGCTTCACAGCTGTTCCGCCTCGCCACCTACGAACCCCGCTCTACGCGCTCTCCCTATTCCTGTGGGGGCGGCAAAAGACGCCTCTTCCGCGGGAAGCGGGCCTACATCCCAAAGCCTTTGTCGCAGTTCGCCTTCCCGTCTGCCCAAAACACGCTAAAACCTTCCACTTCCTCTCGCTGAGCGCCGTCTTTCCGGCTGGACTCCTTTCTGATTGGCTGGCTGAGAGCTTCCTAGGGGACTCGGCCACTCGGGGCACTACAGCGGCCGCTGTAGCCGCTGTCCCGTGGTTTGGCCGCGCTCTGTTGGCTGCGAGTTCTCTGTGGTGCTGGCAACAACATGTGGCGCCTCCCGGGACTCCTGGGCCGAGGTAAGGGGCGTCCACGCAGCGAGTGCCGTGAAGATTCTGAACCGGAGGTGGGGTATGGAACCGAGGAAATCGCCAAAGCAATAGCGGGAGGGGTTAAGGCTGAGGAAGGCGGGGCCTTCAGAGGGGCGGAGCTGCATTTTAAAAGTCTGGAGTCGTTGGACTGTGAGCTGTGGGTGGGGCTAGTGAGAAGAGGGCGGAGCTTGGACCATGGGGCTATTGGAAGTGGGAAGAGTCAAATGGCAGGCGCTGTGGGCAGATCAATGAAAGACTGGAGGCAAATAGAGTAGTCGGAGGGGTTTGGAGACAAACTGTTGCAGACATTGGGCGAGAGTATGTGTATGAATGCCTGGTCATTTTAGAACTGGTTGGCAGTGTAGCAGAGTGTCAGAATCACATGAGGAGCTTTTTCAAAATGTAGATGCTCTGTCCTGAGAGATTCTGGTTTATTGGTTTTGGGGTGGCACCCCAGAATCTGTACGAGGCAAAAGATTCTTAAGAACCACTGCAGAGACAGATGCCAGTGATTCCTGAGCTCCTATGTGAGATGCCAGCATAGGTCAGAGGGAAGATTGTTTGGGCCACCTTTGCCTCAGTCCTTTTCCTGTTGAGGTGACTCATTCTTGTCGCTCTGCACAGCTCTTCCCCGTTTGCTGGGACCTGGCCTCCGGGGGGTGACTCCCAAGTCCCCTAGCCCAGATGGGCCTCAGGCTTCCTCCTCCACCCTGCTGGTTCCCGTGCCCAACTTTGACAGGTGAGACACTGCCATTCTGTTGCCCATCTCCTTTCCTGGCCCTCCTTTGCCCTCACTTCATACAGAACTTGACAGCCTCTTATTGTGTCATCTAGGTCTGGCCCCCATGGCCCAGGCACGAGCAGAGGCCCGAGGTCCCATGGATGGAAGGATGCCTTCCAGTGGATGTCTGCCCACGTCTCCCCGAACACCCTGTGGGATGCCATATCATGGGTAAACACCCTGTGGGATGCCCTATCTCCCCAGCCCTGTCCTTGACCTTCAAAGCGGATGATAATGATCCTGCAAAAAAGTATAATTTAGCCTAGAAACAAGAGGTAGGGCATCATTGTTACCACACTCAAAATCTGAGTAACCCATAGCATTGGAGTATATTCATGGAGCTATTGCCATTCATCCCAATGTATTTATTCCTCCTTTCATTCAGTAAACATTTTTTTAACACCTTCTCTGAGCAAGATATTTTTGCTAGGCACTAGGGACATAGCAGAGAACAAGGTGGATATATTCTTGCCTTCGTGGAGCTTACAATAAATAGCTAATAAATACCATTATTTATTAATGTAAGGTATTATATACATTATCTTTTTTTTTTTTTGGCAGCTGGGCAGTACAGGGATCTGAACCTTTGACCTTGGCGTTATCAGCACCGTGCTCTCCCAAGTGAGCTAACAGGCCAGGCCCTGCGTTACGTTTTTTAATCCTTACAAAAATTTTGCAAGGGAGATACGAGGGTACTTTAAAAAGTTCTTGGAAGGATTTGTATTACCTTTTAATTCTATATTTCCACAACCTTTGAAGTACCCTTGTGTAATCTTCATTTTATAGATGAGGAATCTGAAATCGTAGGTAACGTGTTTAAGGACACACAGCTATTAAGTGAAGGAGCTAGATTTAACTCTGCAATTCATGCTCTGCAGCTTGTTTGCTGTACCTGGTATGACTTGTAAAAGCACCTAGTACAGGGCCCCATCCACAATAGTTGCTCAATAAATATTTGTTGGTCAGATGCTATAAGGTCAGATGCTCAGTAGTGAACACTAGGTCTAACAGGGCAGAATCTGCCTTCCAGGCAAAGTTCCAAGTAAAGTTTCTGTTTATAAGTTATTCTGAATGAAGTTGGCACACACATCACTCTCGTGTCTGTCACATCTCATCTCTGCTACTTTTCATGCAGTGTACTTTGGACAAGTGACTTAACCTTGCTGAGCTTCAGTTTTCTCATCTGTAGATTGGTGTCAAAGTGGAGCTGAACCTGGGTTGTCTCGTGAAAGGGACACCTCTCTAGGGTGACTAAGGACATAACACACCCTGGAGAGGAGAACATTTTCCCATTTTGCCAAAGATCTGAACACCAGGGCAGACCTACAGTGAGTCTTTTTGGGAACTGGGCCTGGATTCTAGAGGTCCTGATAATGTCCCTGGGCTCTGTCACTACTGCCCAGGTAAAAGGGCCTGCACATAGGCATCACCAATGCCATGGATACTTGTCCCTGCTTTTCACAATGCTGGTGCCTTCTCTTCCTTCTAACATTGACTCACACATTATCCCCACAGAGAGGCTTTCCCTGACTCCCCGTCATGTCAGGTCTCCCTTTTATAATCTTCATAACCCCCTGATTTGTTTCCTTCTGGGCATTTAGCATAATTGGTAGTTATTGGATTTATTTCTCTGTGTACTTAGGTTTTGTCTTTCTCTCTCAGTGAAGGACATAAATTTCATAAAATGTCAGGTCTCCCTTTTATAATCTTCATAACCCCCTGATTTGTTTCCTTCTGGGCATTTAGCGTAATTGGTAGTTATTGGACTTATTTCTCTGTGTACTTAGGTTTTGTCTTTCTCTCTCAGTGAAGGACATAAATTTCATAAAGACAGAGACTGTGTCTGTCCTATTTGCCATTGTTCACAGTGCTTGTTGCGACAAACACATATTTTGGTGTCCCTTTCTGAGCACAACATAGGAAGAGACAGGGAAAACCAAGCAGTCACTGAGCAGTCACACTAGCTCAGGTCTGCAGACCTGTCAAAGAAGAAATATCATCAACAAGCCTACACTTATAAATGTGTGTGTGGTGTGGTGGCTTGGTTGGGGGCAAGGAAGGGCTTGTGCCAGTCTGGAGAGTGACTGTGATGGGGAACTCTGACCTGTCGCTGCATTTGTGGCTAAGCCCAACTTACCACATTATCTTTTTGCCTGTTTAGACTTTGTTCAGTCATTCACTCATGCACGTATTCAGCATGTGTTTATTAGGCCCCTACTATATCTTAGCACTGTACTGGGTACCAGGCATACATTAGTGAGCCCTTTTTGTACTTAGAGACTAATAGGAGAGACAGGCCCTAGTTGAATAATTGTAGAGGTGATTATTTAAGTACCATTGTAATTTGGGACCCAGAGGAGAAGTTCAGGTGCTGTGAGAGTATGTGATGGGAAAGCTGCCCCAGCCAAGGGTCACGAAAGGCTTCCCCTGGAAGTGATGTTTGAGCTGAAGGAGTTGAATGATGGAGGACTGTGTCCCTGATGTGCTGTCTTTCCCAGGGCACTCTGGCTGTGCTGGCCCTGCAGCTGGCAAGGCAGATCCACTTCCAGGCATCCCTGCCAGCAGGACCTTGGTGGATGGAACACTGCTCTTGGCGCATTCCCCTGAACCGTTTCCTCTCATCTCCCTTGTGGCATCCGTGCTCCTGTGAGTTCTCAGTCCTAGGGGCAGGAGGGCTGGACTGGGAGTTTCTCTGGGCCAGGAAGCATCTCTGGACACACCTCAGGAAAAGAGCCATCAGCAGCTCCTTGCCTTTCCTATCTGAAGTCAGAGGAAAGAGATGTGGGGAAGTTTTATCTACCCATGGTGTGAGCCACACCTGCCCCTCAGTGTCCTTCTGTGTCCTCCCATCACCTCCCATAGAGGAGAACCATAGGTCCAGGCTACTTTAGATCCTGGGTGTGGCTTCCTGCCCAATGATCAACCAGTGAGGTCACTCTCCAGTCAGTCATTCTGTTATTCATCAATAAATGAATCTTTATTGAGTACACTATTAATGTGGCATGGTACAGAGACAATATAGCCTAGAGGTTGAGGCTCTGGAGCCAGATTGTGAGGGTTCAAGCCCCAAGACTGCTGCATACTAGTCTTGTGTCCCTGGACAAGTCATTTTAACTTCCTTGTGCCTCAGTTTCTTTATCTGTGAAATGTGATAATAATAAAACCCACTCCATAGGTTTCTTGGGAGGACTAAATGAGTTAATACAGGTCAAGGACTTAGAACAGCACCTGGCACATAGTAAGTGCTCAGTAATTTTAAAATATCAGTTCTTGTCTTTATTATGGTGATTATAATAATTACCAGTATTACCATCAAACAGAGTGTTGGGACTACAATAGTAAATAAGGTGGCTGCCTCCCTGCCACTGGAGGAATTCAAGCAGAGGAGTGACTTATGCTTGGGGGAGATATTGGCATAAATACAGGCCCCTCAAGACCCCTGTGGAGGGAAACCAGCAAAGGAAATGGAAGATGAGGAGTGTCAAGAACATGTCACAGGAGTTTCAGAATTCTTCCTGTGGTCTCCAAGACCTCAGGGAGGATTCAGTCAAGCCTGAGCAGACTGAACTAATCTCCTTCTCATCTGACCACTGTTGCTGGCTCTTTCCAGCACTGCGTAGGCACATTCTGCCCCTCCCTGATGGCCCAGCTCCCAGGCATACTGGCTTCAGCAAACCCAGACTTAGCCAGGAAGAACCCTCAACTCAGCCCAAGAGCTTCTCCTCACACGGCTCCTTGACAGCAGCTGGTCTTCACGACCCCTCTGAGGAAGGTATGTTTCCACCTCCTGGAATCAGCAGAAGGCAAGGGTGGGGAGTTGGGCATATGAACATTTGTTGCTGCATATTCCCAGATAGGGGAATTGTCATTCCTGTGAGGTCCCATGCTTTCTGGGGTGATTCAGAGTTATTTTGGTTCCTGTAGGGGTGCTGGATAGAGAGGCTGGGAAAACTGGGAGAGTAGGAGAAAAGGAAAAGTAACACCTTTCTCCTTTGCCATCGCTGTGTGTTGGCCTTTCCCTTGCAGGTCCCAGTGATTTTGGCTTCCTTCCCTCCGGCAGTAGCTTTCAGTCTAAGGCAAACCCAGGCCAGCCTCAGCCCACTGGTGAAAAGAAGGTATTATTCATATTTGGCCACCTGGATCCCCATAACATTCTGCTGGGTGGGTGGTAATTCCAGTGAACCATCCCTTGATGGGTCTTTATGTTTCTTCACCAGGAACAAGATAAATCAAGAACTCTTCCCCTCGAGGAGGCTGTGACTTCCATTCAGCAGCTCTTCCAGCTCAGTGTTTCCATCATTTTTAATTTTCTTGGTAACTTGCCCTAAGACAGGAGGATGGGAAGATGGAAAGGGTATGGGGGTAGTCAAATACAGTTAGGGTAAGTGGTGGTTTAAACAAGAGAGGTTTTGTTTTCTCCCAGGTAGGTAGACCAAATCTGTTATGGTGGCTCAGTGGTGTCAGGGACCCATTATTCAACTGCGTGCTGCCATTCTTAAAACTGGCTGTCATCTTGAGGTCCAGTTTGCCATTCCAGCTCCTACTCTCATATCCATATTCTAGCCAGCTGGAAGCGGGAAGGTGGGAAAGCTAAAGGACCACTCCATCCCTTTAAAGACATAACCTAGAAGTTGCACAAATTTTTGTCCAGAGTGTAGGCTTGTGGCCACACCTAGTCACAGAGGAGGCTGAGAAATAATCTTTAGCTGAGTGACCGTGTGCTTACCTGTAAATTCTGTTACTGCGTAAGAAGGAGAAGATAAATCTTGGAGGACACCTAGTATTCTCTGCTACACTTAAGAAAGAGCAGCCTCCTGAGGTTTGGAGCAGGCCCTCAAGTACATAAATAGGAATCTTTTTCCCACATCTGGAGACTCCAAATGCCCCTCCACAATTTGTCTTGGTCTCTGCAGTGAGTGATGTGGCTCAAGTTTGAGGCCTTCTGAGGTGGAGACCCAGACTCCCAGCAACATCTATTGGGGTCTAGTGGGCAGTGGGTGAGAGGCTGACATTCTTTCAGTGCAAATTTATTGGGCATTCACTTTTTGCTAGACCCTATTTTAGGTGCTTGGATACAATGATTCAGAGACAGTCCTTACTCACATGGAGCTGACGTGAATTGAGGGAGAGAAAAACAGTAAATTGGCAAACAAATAAAAGGAACTTTAGATGATGATAAGTGCAATAAAGAAATAAAACAGGGGAATGTGTTAGTGACTTGGGCAAGGAGCAGCTTTTGATATGGAAGGCCTCACTGAAGGAAAGACCTTTGATTCAAGACCCAATTGACAAAAACAAGCCAGTCTTATTTCCATTTGGAGAATGCTTTCCAAGCAGAGGGAACAGCAGGTGCAAAGGTCTTGTGACAGGACTGAGTTTTTCTTGCTAAAGAAATAAAAGAAATATGAGTGTGGCTGGAGCTTAGAGATCATGGGATGATTAGGAGATGAAGTCAGAGAAGCAGGCAGGAGCCAAATCAAGTGAGACTTTCTAAGCCAAGGTAAAGAGTATGGATTTTCTTTTTTTTTTTTTTGTCTTTTTGTCTTTTTCCGTGTCCGGCAACGGATCGCAACCCTCAGTGTTGCCCCCATACCGGACCGGGGACCGGCAACGGGATTGCAACCCTCGGTGTTGCTCCCGCGCCTCGCTCAGCCAGTGAGTGGGAACCGGTTTGTATGTGGGATCCGAACCCTCGGGCGGGAGCGCCACCGCGCTTCCCAAGTGGCGCACTATCCAGTGCGCCACCGGGCCGGCCCTGGATTTTCTAAATGAAACAAGAAGCCATTAGAAGTTTTTAAGCTGGAGCAGGAAGGGGGCAGTCACATGATCTGATTTGTTTTTTCAAAAATCTCTCTACACAATAGTGTAGACTGGTGTGGATTGTAGGGATACCAGAAGGGAAACAGGAGACCAGGTAGGAGCTGTTAACTAACTGCTAAGCAAAGCATGATGTTGGCCAGATCTAGGTTAGAGGAAGGCACCAGCATTGAGGAGGGTAGATGGATCTGGATTTACCGATGGAGCCAGTGTGGGGAATGGAGACAGGGTAGAATCCTTTGACCTTTTGAGTCTTCTCCCCAAGGACAGAGGGCTCTGTGAATTCTGTACAGTGAGTTTTCAGACAGCAGGGAGGCAACTTTAATTCTTTGCTGGCTGAGTGGAACTTGGCTGCTAACTCATTAGCTTTTTGTGATTTTGATGGGCAGACAGTCTCTTCTCAGAATTTTTTTTTACCCATTCTTTCATTCATATATTCATTTATTCAGAAAGTGCTAAACACTGTGGCAGAACATAAAGGGAGCATAAGCCATAATCATATTTTGCATTTGTATAGAGCTTTCACCCTATGTAAAGTTATTTCTTCTACAGTCTTTTTCTGCTTCTGCCTCCAGGATTTTACAGTCTAATTGAGGATTCAGTTTAGTTCATAGAAAAAGGCTTGATATGTTAAGTAAGTGCCAAAAAAGTGTTTAAAGCCTGAGTGTGGTCTGAAGGTTCTAGAGCAGAAAGAGGATGGGAAGCCTGATAGTGGAGGCAGAAAGAGAGATCCCAGGAAGGAGAGACAGTTTGAGCAAAGGCTTAGAGTTGAGAATTGCCTGTACTTTGCCTCTTTCCTATTTCCTTTTTATTCAGGCAATGAAAAGAGCATGGGCTTTGGAGTTGGACATAGCTGCATACAGCAATCTTATATTACCACTCCTAGTTTCCTCATAAAACAAGATTAACAGTATCACCTGTATCAGTTACGTTTTGTTGGTTACAAGCAACCTAAACCTACTCTGGCTAAAGCACAAAAGGAATCATTAATATCTGTTAACCTGCTGAGCCTCAGAAAGGACAGGAATCAAGGAAGTTCTAGAGACACGGGTGCAGCAAGTGATAATATCTTCAGAATGCTGTTGTCAGAATAAACCTACAGAGCTGTTTTCTCTCCTTGTCCCAAGATTCAGATTCCCGAGAAAGAGTCTCATTGGTTGGGAAAAGCACAGGTACATTGATTGACAGCACTGGGGGAAGGGTTGTTCCTAAAAGGAAATCTGGATGCTATTACCAAGAGAAGGAAGAATGGTTTATAGGAGGGCAGAACCCACTGTCTATGGCAAACCAATGAAGTATTCAGAGGACAGAAAAATATGCAAAGAGTATAGCACAAAAAGGAAGAAACCTTTGATCAGATGAGGAGCCCATAGGTGTCTGGCTGAGGATATGGGGATGTTCCTAGAGGAAGCTGTGAGCGTTTGTGCCATGTGCTTTTTTACAGGGACCGAGAACATGAAGAATGGGGACTATACGGCAGCCTTTTCTTACTTCCAGAAAGCTGCCGACCACGGCTATAGCAAAGCACAGTACAACGTGGGCTTGTGTCATGAGCATGGCAGGGGCACCCCTAGAGACATTAACAAGGTACTGCACCTGCTCTCCCCTGCCCCAGGCCTGTCTCCTTTGTGGGGCTGCCCAGAGTGGTCTCTAGAACTGAGCAGTGGGCAGGTATGGCTTCTCTTCCCCACTTGGTTCCAGCTCAGCTGTGAGGGAAGAATAAGAAAAAAGCTACTTTCTTTAAAAATAAGAAAGAAGCTACTTTTTCCTAGCTACTTCTAGGAATTTAGACTCAAAACTCTGGGAGGGCAGGGATCTTATCCTTATTCTTTGCAGCTATATCCACAGAGCCTAGATTAGCACATTAATGACTAGATTAATCAGCTCTAAAAAAGTAGGATAAGTACAGAAAGATGTTATATACAAGAATGTATTTCTTAGGGCCGGCCCGTGGCTCGCTTGGGAGAGAGTGGTGCTGATAAAGCCAAGGCCACGGGTTCGAGTCCCTATATAGGGATGGCCGATTGGCCCACTTGGGAGAGCATGGTGCTGACAACACCAAGTCAAGGGTTAAGATCCCCTTACTGGTCATCTTTTAAAAAAAAAAAAGAAGAATTATTTCTTAGAATTGTATAAGAAGGCAAAGAAAGGGAAAACAACTTAAAGTTTCTTTAATAGAGAACTGGTTAATTACATCTATGTGAGCCTTAAAAATGATGTACTAGATCTATAGTTATTGGCAGGGAAAGACATTTATGTTGTATTTTTATTTTTATTTATTTATTTATTTATTTTTAAAAAAGATGACCGGTAAGGGGATCTTAACCCTTGGCTTGGTGTTGTCAGCACCACACTCAGGCAGCGAGCCAACCAGCCATCCCTATGTGGGATCCGAACCCGGGGCCTTGGTGTTATCAGCACCACACTCTCCCAAGTGAGCCACGGGCCGGCCCTATGTTGTATTTTTAAGTAAAACAATTGGTTACAAAATAGTGTAGTGTGATCCAATTTTCTTTCTCTCTCCCTCCGTATACACACACACACACACACTCACACACTCACTCTCTTTTTCTCTCATATGTATGTATGGGAATGTGTATATATGTGTCTGTATATGTATATACTGTGTGCGTGTATGTATAGCACATACTAGTATATATGTGGGAAGAAATTTGCAATGCTGTACACTAAAATTTTAACAGAATGATCTTTAGGAGGCAGAACTTCTTGGGATTTTATGTTTCTATTTTTGGTTTATATTTTTAATATGGGCTTATCTGTGTTTTCTGATTAATTGATACTTATTATGTATTATCTAATTAAAATATTTTTTAAAAATTTCACTGAAGGAAAAAGGCACGGAGTTATCAGCTGACTGGGTGTTTCTCCTTTTGCCCCAGGCGGTCCACTATTACCAATTGGCTGCCAGCCAGGGCCACAGCCTGGCTCAGTACCGCTATGCCAGGTGCCTACTGCAAGACCCAGCCTCCTCATGGGACCCTGTGCGGCAGAGGGCAGTGTCCATGCTGAAGCAGGCTGCAGACTCAGGTTTGAGAGAGGTGAGTGCCATTGGTGGGTCTATCTTAGGTGTCTGGGGCATGTGGAGCCTGAAAGTGACCATGATGACTTTTTCCTTCCTCCTTAACCACAGGCCCAAGCTTTCCTCGGGGTGCTTTTCACCAAGGAGCCATACCTGGATGAGCACAGAGCTGTGAAATATCTTTGGCTTGCAGCCAACAATGGGGTATGAGATCTGTGGTATCCAGGCATGTTGGAGATCAAGTCTGATGAGAGAAGGGGTTTTGGAACTGGTACTGAGTTCTGTGCTTAGGAGATCAGTTGATAGGAGCATTGGGCTGGCTTCAAGCCTCAGCTCTCACTGACTTACTCTGTGGCCCTTGGGCAGCTCCAGCAGTGTTGGGAAGCTGGCTTCTACCAGCCTGCGACAGCTATTGGTAGCTTAAAATCAGCTATGGTGGGACTATTTGTACCACAGAAATTGCTAAATATTACAAAGCAGGGCTTTTCCTCCCTGGAGAGCCAGTTGTTAAACATTTACCTGTTCACTACTAGGCCGGTCTCTTCTTGATCCAAACCTGTTTCCTTTCTTTAAAATCAGCATAATAATGCCTGTCTTAACTGTCTGCCTCTTCATAGGGTTGTTGTAAGGATCAAAATCTAACAGATAACAAGTGTGAGAGCACTTTGTAAGCTGTACACATGAAAGGTACATCATTACAAGTGGTAACCCAGGGAAGTCCGAAGACACGTAAGGTGGCGACACTCAGCAGTTTGGGGGTGGGGGTGGGAATGTCTGGTTGCCTATGAACTGGGCATTGGCATTCAAGCAGCATGATCCACAGTTTGTTCCATGGAGCATTAGTTCTATGGGATGTTTATAAGTAATATGAGGGAAAAAATGGTTAGTTAGGTTTGGGAAATACTGAGTTAAACAGTTATCTTTAATGCATGAGATCTCAGACCTTTACATCACTCTGAATCACCGAGAAGGTGACCTGTGGTTTGCTGTATTCCTCGAGTATATTTGACGAGTACCTTGTTTGAGTTGCATCTTGAAAGACCAGGAGTCCTGGATTAAAATAAGCAATGTGCACGTACTGTAATTTCCCTGCATAGGGGGACTGCAGCTTCGTTTGTTTTCTGGCGAATACACCGATAACTTCATTGAACTCTTGGGCATCAGAATACTTTTCCTGGTCTGCTCTGTGTTGCCCAAAGTATCTGCAGTAGCCCTCAAAAGGGGACTGATGTTACCAACGAGTACCTACTGCTGTGCATACCTTTCCTTGAAAGAGGCCCACAGATCTCTCCTTAGGCTAGATGGGCCAGCATGTCTATGTGCTGGACAAGCCTGGGGCACCTGGCCAACTGTAGTCAGACCAGCATGCTGAGAGGAGAAGTGCACAAGGATGTCTGTCACCTATTATGTGACACTGCGTTGGGACACAGCCCTCACAGTCATCAACCCACAGGGAATTGTGTCCTCCTGGGTTTGTACTGAACAGCATTGCAGGGATGCATGTTCTGGCCTTACCTATGTCCACTGCTGTGTGGTAAACTGGCCTGTGGCGGTGAGTTCACCTTATTTATTGCAGAGACTTTGGCCTTCATGTTACAGAAGTGGGGGCAGAATGTGTAGACAGATGACTGTTTCCACAAATTTGACTGAGGAAGGTAGAAGAGAAATGGGGTCATGGTTGGGAGTCAACAGAGTATTTTGTTTTTTTAAATTGGGAGATTGAATATGATGAAAACGTTCTAGTAGAGAGGGAGAGATTAATGATGTGGGCAACTAAAGAGGATGATAATAATAATAAAAATAGCACTAATCTAAGCATTTGTCATATAGTAACACATTTATTATTTTTATTTTTTATTTTTTATTTTTTTGTCTTTTTCCGTGTCCGGCAACGGACCGCAACCCTCAGTGTTGCGCCCGTACTGGACCGGGACCGGCAACGGGATTGCAACCCTCGGTGTTGCTCCCACGCCTCGCTCAGCCAGTGAGCGGGAACCGGTCTGTATGTGGGATCCGAACCCTCGGGCGGGAGTGCCACCGCGCTTCCCAAGCGGCGCACCATCCAGTGCGCCACCGGGCCGGCCCCTAGTAACACATTTAATCCTTACAATAACCTAATAAGGTAGATGCTATTATTATCCCCACTTTATAGGTGAGAAAACTGAGGCCCTGAGATGTAGAGTAACATGCCTGAGGTTACACAGCTGGTAAGTGGTAGAGCCAGGATTGGAGCCCAGGCAGTCTGGCTGTACAGGCCGAGCACCTAACCTCTACCTGCTATTGCCTCTCAGAGGAGCAGAGATCTCAGTGAGAGACAATCCAGAGCTGTGGGCAAAAGGCTTCACCTTTTTTTTTTTTAAAGATGACCAGTAAGGGGATGTTAATGCTTGACTTGGTGTTGTCAGCACCAAACTCTCCCAAGTGAGTAAACCGGCCATCCCTATATAGGGATCTGAACCCGTGGCCTTGGTGTTATCAGCACTACACTCTCCCAAGTGAGCCATGGGCCATCCCAAAAGGCTTAACCTTTTAAAGGAGGAGAGACACTTTCTCTGAAATGCCCCTGGCATTTCCTAGTTGAGTTCCCTCAGTAGGGGCCCAAGCCAGGGCTGGGCCTTGACCCTGCCATCCCAAAAGGCTTAACCTTTTAAAGGAGGAGAGACACTTTCTCTGAAATGCTCCTGGCATTTCCTAGTTGAGTTCCCTCAGTAGGGGCCCAAGCCAGGGCTGGGCCTTGACCCTGCATGGATGAACCAGCACGCCTAACTCTGCCTGCCTTCCGGCTGAGCATTTCTGTTCCTCAGTCCTGCATGTGTGTGTCTGTATGTCTGTCCATTTTCTCTTTTAGGACTCCCAGAGCAGGTACCACTTGGGAATTTGCTATGAGAAGGGCCTTGGTGTGCAAAGGAATCTGGGAGAGGCTGTGAAATGTTACCAGCAGTCAGCGGCTCTGGGAAATGAGCCCGCCCAGGAGAGGCTGCGGACCCTCTTTTCCATGGAGGCAGCAGGTACAGACACAAGTCAAAGCCAACAGGGTCTCTCCCCTGAGCTCAGTACCCCATGTCAGAGAGGGGAGTGATAGTAGCCTCTGGTCTGCTTGTGATTTCTGACCCAGTGGTGGTTAAGAGCACAGTATTTAGAGTCAGATAAACCTGAGTTATAACCCGCGCTGTCATTGAACTTGGACTTCATGTCTTTAATCCTCTTTCTTCACCTCTTAAAAATAAGGGGAATAGTAGTGCCTAATTCATTAGGTTATCATAAGGATTGAATGAGATGACTATAAAGGGCACAGTGGCCTGACACACAGTAGGTATTGAATAAATGGTAGCTGCTCTGATGATTTTTTAGGGGAGACAGTGTCCTGAGGCTGTCTTGGTTACTCTTCTAGGGCTCTGAAAGCACTGCTCACTCATGAGTCATTGGGTTGGGCTGAGTTAACAATGCCAGGGGAAACCAAGTCCTTTAAGAAGTCCTTGCTCTGAAATAGAAATCTAAGAATACAGCATGAGTAAGAGTTGTTCTTACCTCTTCTTGTAGCCCCAGGGCCCAGCAACCTGGCAGTTACAGGAGTGAAGTCTTTCTCCAGCCCCTCCCTCTGCAGCCTGAACACCTTGCTGGCAGGAGCCTCACGCATCCCACATGCCTCAAGTACAGGAAACCTTGGCCTCCTCTGCAGAAGTAGGCATCTCGGAGCCAGCCCTGGATACCCCAGTGGGACCATCCCTCCACACCCCTACTCCTTGGAAAGGAGTCTTGTAAGACTGGGTTTTGGCTAAGGTGAGCTAAAACATAGTCACTGGTGCCAATCAACGGTTGGGGGTGGGGAGTAGGAGGTTGGGTGACAAAAATAGGGTGTCAGTATCCCTTTCCAGGGTAGAAATTCCAGTGGGAGCTCAGATTCCCAAGTAATTTCAAGTGTATGGCTTATAAATGATTCTGATCTTTTCCCCCACTTGGTAGCATCACAGATGATCCTTGGATACATTTATAGTCATTCCTGGTCTGTGCACCAAGAGGATTCATTCATTGGCCTGTGAAAAACTTTACTGAAGGGTCCAGAGACCCTGGTCCTCACCTTAGCTTTTGTCTTTGAGCAAATCACTTGACTTTTTCTTCCCCATGCCTCAGTTTCCTCACACTTAGACTACGCCATTGTATGCCAACCTCTGATGTGTGTACCTCTGATGGTTCACAAGAGGATTTTAGGTGGTATTCAAATTATTATTTTTTATTTTAGTAGTTGCATATTTAATATACAAAAATATGACTAGCATATTGACCTGTAGTTTTATAGGTGTATGTCCAAGATAAAGCTTGCTTAAAAAAAATAGTGAATCAATTTAAAGAAAAACATTGGGTAAAGGGATATATAGATCCAGAGACTTGGCCAAAATCATGGGGGTAGTTCCATGAATGGCTGACACTTGGGAAAACTGGATCAGGTGATCGCTGAGACTAGCTCCAGCATTTGCCTTTGTTCATCCCAGTGGATTCATGATCATTTTAGTTTCACCTTTGGTTTAGAAGGAAGGAGTTTCTTGCCTAAATGCCTGGATGTATCTGCTTGACTTTTTCAGACCTTCTCACTTCAGCCCTAAAGATGGAGCCTGTGGGTTCTCAGAGAGAGATCACAGCTTGAGTCTCAAAGAAGAGGCCAGTTTTATACACACCTTCCCAAAAACCTTAAGCACCTTCCCCAGCACAGTAAAGAAGAGGAAAGTGTATGAAGACCCATGTTCTGGCTCCGCCACTTGCCAGGCCATGTCGCCTGAAGCAGTGACTGACTCACTATATTGTTTCCTAAGTGGTAGACCAGGGGCAGTGGTGTCTGCCCTCCTACCTTATAGGACTGATACGAGGACATTTCACTGCAGGGGGGACCTCAGTGCTCACATAGGCTCAGGGGGGCAGAGTGATGCCCCTGGTTGCATGGCTTTATGAGTCTCTAGGCCAGGATGAGGACTCGGACCCATTGATTCCCAGCCCAGGGTTCTTTTCTACCACTTCACACTGTAATTTTATGGGAAAGCATTATTATTGTCCTACCGATGTGAGGGGTAAATGGAGATTGAGCACCTGGAGTCTTGGAGCAGGAGAGTGTGGATTTTGAGCCCTGTTTGGGAAAGTTGTACCAGAAATGTGTGGGTTTTTAATAAAACAGATACTGGATTATCTCATCACTTTTGCCCTTGAGTGTGTTGGGAAGGGCCAGGAAGATGGGCAGGGGAAGCTGAGAGCAGAGGCTCCGTCCTCATCTCTAAACTCTCCATTAACCAATTTAAAGGTTTTAAAAGCTTCTTCAAGAGAAAGACTTAGAAAAAATGATTTCTGAGTCAACACTAATGACTCCAATTACAGAATTTGTGAATAGCTATTCCCTGGCTTCTGGATGTCAGCCCAAGTTCAATAGCATAGATGTGATTGAGGGTGGTTGTGGTTGAGGATGGAGGGGCCAAGGGTCAGTCCCCCTTGTGACTGAGTGGGAAGGACCAACCAGCTTGGAGAGTTCAGAGGTGGGAGGATCTGGGGGCAGGGGGTAGTTGTTCATATTTCCATCTGCTGTCCACCCTCCCTCTCCCAACCTCTAAACGGTCCCTGCCACATTTGCAGCACCTTCCTCTCACTGCTGGAGCCCCAAGCTTCCTCTAGCTGCGTTGTCTCCCCCGCCCCTTGCTGCTTTTTCATAGCCACCCTGCACAGTGGCCTTATCCCCATTGGACCCTTCACATGGCTGTTCCCACAGACGGCTCTTCTTGGGGGAAGGGAACTTGTCTTTGTATTCCAGTGTCCCCAGCACTTAGCACAATGCCCTATGCAGGGTAGGGGCTGGATATACATTGGTTAAAGCTCAGGTTCTAAGCTGTGCAGTGCACTAATCTCTGTGCCAAAAAAAAAAAAAAAAAAAGATTTCTGTGGTCAAATAAGTTTGGGAAATGCTACACTAGACATCCCCTTTTTATAGATTCACAATACACATCAGCATATTAAGGTTCCAAGAAGTCCTACAATGAAGAACTGGGTTAACCCACTGTTTCCCTCACTGAGTTGAGCACAGAGTCCATTTCCCCGCAAATTGCTTATCTGCCTTTCTGGGGTACTCTCTGTAAGATGTCACCACCTGCCTTCCCTGTGGAGTTCCACTCACAAGCCTCTTTCTCTCCTGTTGTTGTTTTGGGTTCTCTGATTACTGCTTCCTCCTGACCATGCCTGAGGCCAAGGAGCAGTTCAGACCATAGTGGACAGTGGCATCCCATGGTGATGGCCAGATGGGACTCTACCCCGGTGGCTCTCATCCTCAGTCACTGCTGAGTTAAATACTGATTCAATTTTGTGTACCAATGGAGGTGAGATATTTTTAGGCTCTCCAATTTGAATAGGAAGGGCCTCTCCTTGTGGAATGGAAGGGGTGGAAGAGTCACGAGAGATATCAAGGGACCAAAAATCCTTGGCTGTTCAGTCACTGTGGTCTTGACACAGCCCCAGGGGATGTACTTCACTGGCAGACTTGGGAACTGCTGTGATTTTGCTATTAGAATTTGTTAATGATTCATCCTCAGTGCCCTGAGAGGAAATGTGAGAGGAGGACAGGAAGGTGGCCCCCATCAGCAGGGCTGGCCTAGGACAGGATGCTGGGTGACCCAAAGTTCGGAGCCTGGCGCCCTCAGCAATGAGACCTTTGTGCAGAGCTCTACTGCCTCAGTTTCCCTTTTGAGAGATGCTGTTTTCAAAGAGCTTTGACACTACAGTGAGAACAAGGCTATTTGGTTCATTATATCGTCAGTGCTAATACAGTGCAGGGCACTTTGTAGATGTTCAGTAAATATTTATTCAATAAATGAGTGATTATATGCTTCCCCTCCTGTCTACCCAATGTCTGACACCAAACCTACCCAGCACGTAGTAGGTGCTTTAAATCATTGTTGAACGAATGATTCTGTATACCCCTCCCCTTCTTATTCCTTGTGCTACTTCTGGCACTTTGTAATTTTTCACTAAATACAAAGTTGATTGAATGAGTGTTTCTGATAATGCCTCACTCGTGTCCCCCCTCCCCCACTCACCCATTCCATTGTACCCAGTACTTAGAAGGAGCTAGAAAATGCTGACCTGTTTTCTAGGTGTACACTATGTGCCAGGCTGAGCCTGTGCTAAGACTCCCTACTCCCCACTCGCATCTTCTCCTTTTGGGGATTTGGTTCAGAGTCCCAAGGGTAATGGTCGCCATCTCACTCTTGTTTCAGCCAGGGGAGAGGTAGGGTCAGTGCAAGCTGGAGTTGGGTAACAGACAAGGAGATTGTCAATCTCTGAGCTGCCCCCAGGCTCTGAGTGAGCACTGCATTGCACTCCTGGTGCTGGAGAATGACTGACTATTGATAAAAGTGTCTCTGCGCTTTCCAAATTAAGACAACATTTAACTGAGTGCTTGATGGCTTGCCTGCTCCCTCAGTCTCCCAGGAGATGGAGCCCATCTTGGTGGAAACTGTTTTGAACATGTCCAGAGTCTCAGCTTTGACATCTTGGCTGATGTCAAGAAGTTTCTGTAACCTTCCTGTTCAGTACACCCAGTTCTGTCACCATATGTACTGTCTCACTGTCAGCCTGTTATTGGGAAAAGTGGTTTCAGCGTGCTAGGAGGGGATGCGTGGCACAGGAGAGAGCACCAACCCCTCCCTGATCAAAGATCAGTTGCCTCAGAACAAGAACAGCTCTACCTGTGTGTTCTCCAGGTTCGGCAGAGAAGGCAGAGCTGAGGACCGACCTAGAGGATTGCAGTGGTCCTTAATCTTATTTAGGTCAGAGACCTCTTTGGGAATTTGATGAAAGTGCCTACTCCTTCCCATAGAAAAATGCATGTCTTCCCAATATTGCATGCAATTCAGCAGGTTCATAGATCCTGAAACCCAGTTACGGACTCCAAGTTAAGAACCCCTGATATATTAGAAAGAATATCATACCAAATCCTAGCTCTGCCAGAAACCTGCCATGTGGCCTTGGGCAAGTCATCTGCCGTTTTGGTCTTTCTATTTCTTTCACTATAAAATGAAGAGTTGAAATAAAGTTCAGACTCCTTTTGGCTACAGTTGTCCATGCCCGTGGAGGTTTGGATAGTATCTTAGAGGGATGCCGTATATAAACTTTTATAGGTCATGTGTTCCTTTGAGAATCTGATGAGAACTTTGTTTCTTCTGCCTAGAAAAATGCCTATATGCAGAGTTTTGCCTAGTATTCAGGGAGTCCAAGGACTACAGATTAGGACTTCTGAACTAGAGTGATGCAGTGGTCCAGTGTATCCAAAGATACAGGTGGCATCCATGGTTCCAACTTCCTTAGGTCACCTCCTCTCCCAATCTCTTTTTTTCTCCACTTTCCCAACATCAGCTCTGCACTGAAAATCTAATAGTAACTGGGGGCTCAGCATGGTTTACTCTAATGTTGTGGTTTTCAGACCTTGACTTTACATAATGGAACCATTTTTTCTAATGAAGTCTTACCTAGAGCCCCAATATGGATAAAAGGGGACTCAAACATTTATTCACCTATTTATTCATTTATACATCCATTCAACATGTATTCATCAAGTGTTACTTTGTGCCAGGCACTTGGCTGGGCAGGCTGAAGTCCCCGCCTGCTTAGTTTCCCCATCTTCTCTCACTAACTGCAGAACCCAACAGCTTTGTGAACCAGCTTGAAAATCACAGACCTTGTAAGGAGATCACTGTGGCCTGGAGTGAGGTGATCAGAGACCCAGAGAGCCTACCCCTGAAGCACTTAACTTTCGGGCCTCATTTTCCTCATCTGTAAAATGGAATAATGGATTAATGATGCCACACTCTCAAGTATATTCCAAGTATGAATGATGTTCATTATCCCTAGTCAGGAGTATGATTAGCCTGTTTCTGTGGACAGTGGACATGAGCACTGAGTTGCAAAAGAGAACAAGAGGAGGAGCAGATAGAGGAACTTTGCCTTCATTGTCCAGAACAGCCATACACTCTCAGAAGCAAGCCAAATGACTGCTTGAAAATTTCCAGGAAAATTATAAGGCTGAGCCTTGGGAAACGATTTGCTGTTTCTTCACTCCCCCCTACCCCAATTCCCTCCCCCCACCCCTGCCCCAGAAGGTTGGTCGCTGTCAGTGTCAATTTCATAGACCCAGTTCACATACTGTCCTCTGGGGCTTGATTTCACAGGCCCAAACCTGCTGTGACCGAGGAAGATTTACCTGCAGACGGGGTGGGGTTGGGGTGTAGTTGGGAAAGATAACTTCTGCACCTGAAGGACTACTTGCTGGGAAAGGACTGGTGCCTGCATCAGGTTGGATCCAAGTTCCTCTTGCCCTGTGCTTGGAAGTGCAGAGTTGTGTGGGACTGAGTGACTCTGGAAGTGTTCCTTCCAACATTGTTTCCTGAAGGGGGCTCATGTTAAGTCCACTGCTAGCAAAAGCTCCCCTCCAGGGCTTTTCCTTTCCTTTCCTTGGCTGGCAGTTTAGTGTCAAAGTTGAAGGCATGGGTTTTGGTATTGGAACAGCCTGGATCCAAACTCTGGCCTTGCCTCTACTCTCTGCTTGATCCTGGGAAAGACACTCAACCTCTCAAACCTCATGTCCTTTCCTGTGCAATAGGGGTCATAATACCTCCCTCTCAGGGTTGGAAAATCAAATTAAATCCTATTATAAAGCATCGTGCCTGGCTCACGTAAATGCTCTATAAATAGTCATGCTTTTCTTAGCCCTAATTTTCCTGCTGAGAAGCAGATTATTTGATAACACAGCAATAGAGGAGTGGGGTCGAGAGCTCGCATGTCCGTCATGTGTATACCTGTCACTGTGCACCAGTGTGCCACTCCTGTCCTGCCCCAGAATGACTTTCTTGCTAGGAACTGGTTGACAAAGAATCTTCACTCTGTTTCTCTTCCCTCCTCCCTCTTGACAGGTGCCAGCAGGAGAATGAGCCACTGCTTTTCTTTATCAGGAGGTCAGAGAGCATTGCCTGGTGCCCCCAGGATCCAGCCCTCGCCTCCGATATCCAAGGTCATCCTTCCCTGTGTGATACTCTGTGGCATCTGTTCTGCCAGAGGACTGACCTTTGTGCTGTACATGTGTTTCGCCAGCAAACACTTATCTCAGCCACAAACTATCCCTGTCCTCCAAAACATTCACAGGCAGAGCCACTTATAA